CTCGCGATACAAGATGGCATATTTGAATGAGATGGAGCACTTTCTTGACATTCTGCAAGGTACCTATAACTTCTTGTGGAACTTTCATGCTAATGTGATTGATGGTGTTCCTCTGGTTTGTTGCCCCATGTAGCATTTTGGCTGAGTGCCAACATAGTATGCTAATTACTCCATTCATTTTTATGCTTATGTAAAATAGTTCCCAGTTTCCTTAAACCTTTAAAACCAAATGTCTGCATGGAACCTCAACTTAAATATGCAAGACAACTGATCCTCCTCATAAACCAGGATTCATAATACATGCATGTACAGTACATGCAGGAAAAGACCAATGGCCTGGACAGATTGTAAAGAAAGAATAGTACTGGTATTGTCAATGCTCTGAACTCATGTGTTTCTCATGGAAGTACTCTGATACAACATGTTAACTCTGTGAATACTCCAATCATAATTTCAGATAAATCAAAGCCAGCCATCTTGGGGCATGAGACACTTGCAGTAAGCAAAATTGCATCAGCCTGTGAGGAATCAGCACGGTTGACTCGATTTGTGGAATTAGAATGGGAACCTGAGGACAACCCACCTAAGTAGCATAGCAGCAGTCTTCATACTTCAACAGTCAGTCCACTGTTGACTGAAAACTAATCTTTCAGTCACCCAAGGATCAAAGAAGCAGTATTTTTTGGAAAACACATACATCAGCACAAAATAGAAAACCATTAGACGTGCTTTTATAATGTTAAAATTATGTCCCTACCATTGTATAACTGGAAATGCTGGAGTAAACATCACATGGGTTCCATCCGTTCATTACAAATTTTAATTTTGATTTTATGATTACAAATATTTTGCATTCAAATCACATTTGACTTCTGATTCCCATTAACTACATGAAATAGTAAAGGAGTATTTAAGGGAATAGTTACAGTTGTGTATTTGCTAAAACAGCTTGCTGTTTTACCTAATGTTTTGTAAAATAAGCCTGGTGATGGCTTGTTAAATCAAATCATCATCTTCTTCTATGGCACAACAGCCTGAAGTCAAGCCTTGGCCTCCTCCCATGTGGGAGGTTTCTTTGTCTTTGAAGTGTGCATTTATGAGTAGTGAGTGACAAGCCCACTGCCTCTGCACAATTTATACTCAAACCCGATTTGTCTGCTAGAGCCATCTATTAGTGAATCAGGAGAGATTTGGGTGAGAATTGGTCGCTGAATTTTGCTTATGAAACATCTTTCTTGTTCATGCTTGTAAGGTTCTTTTATGTGCCATAAATCTAAGAAATGGGACCACTGGCTTTACTTCCCTTCCAAAGGAAGTTGTCACCCTTGAAAATCCACCGACTTCAGCCGGGTTTGAACGTGCGAACCTTGGGTCCAGTGGCGAGCATGCTAACCACTAGTCCACCGAGGGCGACAAATCAAAACATGTTACTTATACAAATCAGTTTTATTATTTAACTAATATAACACTATTACTAGTTAAGTAAATAAAGCTACTTTGTTGTAAGACATATTAATATTCTTACATGTTTCTTAGATCATGCATGTCATTATTGTCCAAGGTAGGAACCAAACAGAGCAAAGGTGAAGAGATATAGGATCATGTACTGTAACTGCCAGGGCAGCTACAAAGAATTACTCAGTTCACAACCTGATAATACAAGTTTATCCAATATAGAAAATACAACAACTTTGTTCTTATAATACAATTAACACTCATCTTCCACTAGAGGTATGAAAATGTAATATAATCCTGTACTTCCAATTCAAACTCCACATCTCCAGTGTGGAATACATTTGTTACCATATGAAAGTCAATACTAAATCAATTTTCAAACTATTAGAAAATGTACAGCACCATCTACCATAGTACAGTTGCCAAATCAACCTGATTTTTTGTACACAACCATATAACATTTTGATATCAATGTATATTAAATAAAAAAGAAAACACACAACTTCCTTTATTCCTGTGTTATATCTTTAACAAATGGCATTAGTTACAATTTATATAGTCTGTACCAGCAATTCTCACAATTGTATAATTAGATGCTTAATAAAGCCTTTTATTTTCTTATTTATGCTTATATTTAACTGTATACATCTACACATGTTTGGAGAAACATGACTGGAATTAAATTTGCTTTCTTGTGTTATAGTGCAGATACAAATACATTAACACACTGCACATAAGGGTGACATTTAACCTTTATTGGTCATGCAACACAGCTCACGTGTATTTCATTGACTTGAGGTACTTTGTTTACAAATTTCAGACAATACTTAATTTTTCAGACATTAAAGTAGGGAGGAGGTGATCTTTCTCAAATACTGCAGTTTCAATTGGAAATGCTGTAGTATTGGCATTTGTTAAAAACTGCTGGTCAAGATTATAAATTGTCCATTTTAACTTTTATACAGACTTTAGCACAAAGAAAAGTCAATGTGTTATTTTTTATAGTTTATTTTAAATTATACCTGTTTGTAAAGTATTATACATTTGTTGAAGGTTTATATGAAATTTTACAGAGCAGCAAAAAAATACACTGTACTGAGGCACATAACACCAAGTATCTGTGTGTATGTGGTCAGGAGGATAAGAGCTTCATTGCCACAAACAAAACGAGTCAGAAAAAAGCCATTCACCAGACTAAGATTACACTGACTGATTATAATGACAAATGGTAAAGCAGTAAACAGTAACAGCTGTGCTGCACTATATATGTAACTCATACATACTGACTAGTGTGGAAGACAAACTAGTAAAACCATTCTGATTACCTGATGCATAAAAATTATATAATTTGAAACAAATAAAACTTAACTGTGACAACTCTAAAGTTGACATGTCTGGCTAGTGGATGTTCTATTTCTTGGTACATGTATCCTATAGCTCCTCAACACTGTTCATCTTGTTTTAATCCTTTGGTTCAGCAACTTTACTCCCCTGTGTCAAGCACGTGAAGATGTTATCTCACTTGGAGTACGTGCTATTATACTTCTCTGCAGTCAGTCACTCATAAACTGCACTTGACAATGTAGCAGGAAATCAGAACTTAAGTGCTTTGGCAAACAAAGCTGCTGTGGCTTGAGTCTTGTCGCCTCGAAACCGTCGCAATTCTGCAATTACCTGTTGGTTTAGACACAAATGCAATGTCTATAATGTTAGTTAGGTTTAATTTGTCTCACATCCCTAATAAATCAAATACAGTGATAAATTTGGGTATGGATAAAAATAAAACATTGTGGAAATAAACCAATAAGTGGTTACCTGCTCTGTTGTTGCTGTATCCACCAAACCTGGGATTTTGTGGTTACCTGCTCTTTAGTTGCTGTATCCACCAAACTTAGGAGTTTACTATACAATATGTTGTGTGCATGATCTCAAGATCCTTGCCGGCAGTAGCATAGCTACTTGTAGGGTCTCCCAAGCTGTACAGATCAAGAGCGAGGTTCCAGACTAAGACACACTTCGGTCCTCCAGGTTATGGGGGTTGGGCACTGGGTTGACGAACAAATCCCATAAAGGCAAAATTTGTTGAGAAGACAGTACAATTGAAATCCCAACCAGATGGATATTTAGGATTATGACTTGGGACTTGGGCAAAGATCTAGGAAGAAGAAAAAATTGGCTTACAATGTCTAAGGACTGTCAAGAATGGAGGAAAATTGTGCTGGAAGCAATGTACCTTACCTGCTCACGTGTAAAACCCAAACTGACTAACTCCCGCACTTCATTTTCACCAAAGTTGTCTGTTGGCAGGATGAGGATGGATGGGTCACGAGGTATTGTACGACTGCTGCTGCTGCTCCCACTACTAGCAGCACCCACTGTCATGGCAAGAAATGGAAAACAGTACTATCATTAAAGAAAATACATCAGTGACAGAGACCGGACTAACAGCATCCAGCTCAAATGTTATCCTAAAATAACTACACTGTTTCACTTACCAGCACAGGTCAACAACTACTAGCTCAATCCAACAGTCAAACAAAAATTCAAAGTACCTGTCATACGCTCCATTAAAGAACTGCACTACCCACACCACTGTAATTGCTCAGCCTTATTACTATCAAATAATATACAAGTCATACAAAATATTGTCCTTTATGTTAGCAAACAACTGAAGATGGACTGTCTTCTAGGTTGTTGTGACATGTAGTCTGGAAGAAGTTTACCAATGTTACAGAGGTACTTGCTGCCTCCATTATTAGGATGATCACCCTATTTCATAAGATCCATTTTAAAATTATCCTCTCACCTATGCCTAGGTCTTCTGAGTGGTCTATTCCCTTCAGACTTTCCCACCAAAATCTCTTATACATTTCTTAATCCCCAAGAAGCTGAACATGCCCCGCTAATCTCATCCTCCTTGCATTTATAATCCTAACAATACTTGTTAATGAGTATACATTAACACTTCCACAAATGTGACTGACAATAAAGACATTATCACCGACTAGTTCATCAACTGGTTATAACAAAATTATATGGCATTACCAACCTGATTCTCGGCTGTTCTGAAGAGCACGAGCCAAATCCCTCTCTTCTGCCTCACGAACAGACCGTCCAATTACATCGTCATCACTCTGGCTTGACAGCCGGGCACATTCAGGAAGCTCCCTCTCTGACAGAAATGGAGTCTCTGTGTCTGTTGTCCCAATTCGTAGAACATTATTTTTCAGATCTATTGAGCACTGTGACAAAACTGCAATTAGTTTAACACAATCATCATACAAATTTTCTGTAAACCCTCTTCATAGGCAAGGCACAGAAGGCAAGTCTACTTGCATGTAATACCTACAAAACTAGTTGTGGGTAAAAAAACAGACAAGTCAGATGTACCTGATGCCTCTTAAGCATGTCAAGTCCAAGTAGCATGTCCATTGGCTGCTCCTCCAGCACCGAGAATGAGGTTGTCAAATAGTCAGACTCAATCTGTATCTGTACCATATGGATACGTCCAATGATTTTTTGAACACCAACACCCTTCGCAATTCCAGCCCAGCGTGTGTCAACTAAGCGCATGATGTGACATCGCTCAGCACATGCTGCTGACATTATTGTGGTCTGGGCACCTGTGTCAAAATCAAACAATAAATATCACTAGTTATAAGAGCACAGTAACCTTATGTTGGTTGACATACATGCTTGTCTTTTCTGGTAGACAACTTTAAGAACTCATCATACAGAACTAGAAAGTAAAAACAATACCAGAGTCAATAAATGCCTTCACAGGAAAACCATTGACATGACAGTTAATATACAGCATGACAACTGTTCCAAACGTCTCTGGATTGTATTCCATAGCTGCTTCCATATTTGCTTCAATGTTTTTTTGTCGGATTTCTTCGGCAATCAGTCGCTGGGCTTCTGTGTCAAAGGGATGGGCATTCATCATTCTAATTCTTTGTCTCTGTCTTTCTGCCCGTGATTCCACCTGCTCCCTAAGTACAGTTCCAAACTCATCTGCAATAAATAGATTCATCAATAATTTTTTACAGGAAGCGCATCAGCCAGGGGCTTTATAAATGACCATTCACAATGCAATACATATTTTAAAAATATGAATCTTTTACAGAGGTTATTATTTATTTCAAAATTCACAGTGTTTTCTGATGTAAATGCTAAACCAGGACAGAATGAAATGGCAGAATTTTGTGAACCCATTAACAAACTTACAAGTGCTGCATGATCCTGAAGTGTACAATGAAGAGATCAATGTTATTATTAATCTTTTAACTTCAGTGATAATACTTACTGTTCACTGACATATCAGCAGATTTGCTACTAAACACCTAATATCAAGGATTTAAATGCCAATACACATGCACATGTATGCCAAAGCTAAAGCTAAATATAAATATAAATATAAATATAAATCTAACAAGCTTCAATGCTTGTATTTGTAATTTTACAGCTTTACCAAGATTTCCAGAAAGCAAAGCATCAGCCAAGCGAGGATTGTTCTGCTTCAAGAGAGCAAGCTGATCTGGATTCGCTAAGAACATATCTCTGATCAACTTTGGATCTTCTTCTTGTGCTTGTGCACCTGGGACTGTATGGCTTGGCCCCTGTCCCAAAGAACCAGGAACTTGAATGCCACTGAAGTCGAGCATTGGAAGACCTACAAATAATTATACAACCACTTTCATAAAAAAACCATGACTGATTAAATTAAGATCATAGAGCTCATGTGTCACAACTTTTGTCATTTTTGAAATCGACTCTTACCCTGATTAGCAGCTGCAAAACTGATATTGGAACCTGAAGTGAGCATATGCTGTAGAATCACAACATCACCATCCCGAATACCATGATCCTTCAGCGACTTTTTGTCATCTAATAATGGCATGCCGTTGTGTGCAATAACAATTTCTGGAGCTGGATATCCTGATTCCACTTCACAGAATGCCTTAAAATTTTCCAATTCTAAATCTTCACTAACATCCAACACAAATATGTCATCGGATAAAGTAGTAACCGTGATCTTCATCTCGTAAATGTATTCTTGAATATCTTACACTTGGGGAAAGTAATAAAAAACAAAACTCGTTTTGTGTATAAAAGAATACGACTGAAAAACCATACAACAGCACAGCTCTTCTTCAACAGAAAACAGCAGAATCACCGCGCCATATTTGTTTATTACCGTAACAATCAGAGAGCACATATAAACAACCATACCTACTACCTCCATCTGACAGATAGATACCAAGAACTACCGTCTCTATGGTACAACTAATTCACGAGAGATGGCAGCTCATTGTATTTGCCGTTTCTGCACTCTTCCGGCAACCAGTCTCAATTTCGAAGCTTTATTAATACACACCAAAACGTTTTCCAGCGCATTGGTATAGCGTCGTTATGGATTACAGCAAATAATAATTCTAGCAGTACGTAAAAGATTTTATTTCCCGAGGATTCCTACGACAATTAAGAAAGTGCATGAGGCTACTGAAAATCAGTAGACATTATATTCACATTTCTGCAACAAAGAAAACCGTGGTAAATCACAATCCGACACTTCAGCTTATGACCTATGTAAATCCAAATCTCGACGACACAACTTTCCATGTGAAGTTAAAATTGTGGGTTTATGTGTTTATTCCCTCATAGCTCGAAAACGGATATACCGATTTGCACTAAAAGTGCTGTGCTTATTTCTTGCGACCAAGAAGAGATCATATCAGGGTTAAATTCCGGAAAAGTGTCCAAAGTTTGATTCCCGCTGAGGGCTTTTCCGTAGCTCAGAAACTAAGCACGATAGAAGAATGGAGCCTGGACCAAAGCAGTTTGTATCGAAGAAGGGGTTGCAGAAATGAAGTCCATAAATCCGAAAAAAGCTACCCTCGGTTCCATTCCCAGTGAAGTTAATTTCCGTAGCTCGGCCAGGAGAACGGCAACAAAACCAATATGGAATCGACACTGGGCATCGCGACACCTACTGCAGCAACTCAGAGTTCAATACCGAATCAAGCCAGGAGCATCGAGACGCCACAAAACAGGAGACAAACCAACACCGAACGTCGGGACGCTAACAAAACATTCCCCATATAGCATGCAAGAGATTATTGAAGGCACAAAACAAGTCGCTGCAAAATCGACATCAAGCATCGCGACGCCTATCGTCACGAAACTGGCTCAAGATTCAGACACCAGAGAAACAAGATACGACTTAGCAAAGCGACGTCAAATCCAGATGCTATCAGTGGCTAAAACGAAACTGGAATCTACAAGACACAACGCTGGAAAATCGACGCCGAGCGTGCGACGACTAAAAATCCGAAATACCGTCAATAATAGCTTCTGGAAAATATAAGACACAATGCTGGTAAACCGACGCCTAGTGACGTTATCAAAAGACGCCAGAAGACGCATATAACTATGGTATGACGTTCAGAATAATACTAGACAATCGACACTAAAGGTAGCGACTCTTTGGTAGGACGAAATTTTACCAAAGTCAGCGCCCCAACCTAACCTAACCTAACGTAAACTAACCCAACCTAACCTAATCTAACACAATCTAACCTAACACAACCTAACCTAACCCAACCTAAGCAAACAAACTTAACCTAACACAACATAACCTAACTTCACCAAATCCAACCTAACCTAACACAACCTAAACAAACACAACCCAATTTAACTAACACAACCTAACCTAACCTAACTAAACCTAACCTAACCCAACGCAAGGTAGATGGCTTCTGGAGGCCTTGCAACATTACTGGTCAGGAATTTAGTGAATCGACGCCAATCTTCGCTACGCCGAACATCACGACGCCCTCGAGAGACGTCAAATCACCGCGGACTGGTCTCCTGATGATACTGGACACATACCAGACAACCGACGCCGAGCGTCGCGGCGCCTGCTATGTCGACGACACAGCAATAACGCAGGAAAGATTCTAACACACTTAGAATACCATTCGGGGGGACTTTAAGAAATGGACGCCCGGCGTCGCGACGCCTATCCTCGCGACGCCTGAAAATAACTCAAAAG